GGTTCGCTCACACTCCCCACCCGAAGAAGCGCTCTTTTCTCTTACCACCTCAAAACCTTGCCCAAGACCTCTCTGGCGGCTGCTGAACACATGGATGCATGTTGTTAGGCCAAACATGTAACAGTGGCCGTTCCTGATTGTTTTCGGTGTCCAGGCACGGGGCTATCTGAACAACGGTCTCCAGGGTCCTTCATAAGCATGATCCACACTTTTTGTAATGCTGTAAACTCTGGAGCCAGTTTAAATCTCATACTAGTAGTCTAGCCGCAATGCATAATAATGAATTCGGCCGGCTGCACCCATGTATTACGGATGCCTGCCTTCAATTTCGGCCGAGCAATGTTGGACCAACTGACATGCCAGCGCTGAAGTGCGCTTCAATTCGCCTTCCACCGGGGCCAAATACAATGGATTACTTCCAAGCGATTGATAATTTCTAACCACTTGCTGTCATGCATCTACGTATAGATAATATTCTTGACGAAAGCTTGTTTTACTGACTGACGTCTCACTTACGTAAGAGTTTCCATTATCGAATTGATCCGCTGTTTAACTTGGATAAATCAATTCTCATGATTTGCACCATGGTAAATTATCGTGAAGTACCTACTTAGAGAAGGTTACCATCCCATGTCAAACTTCAGAGTCTCGTAAAGTGCTGTTAAGGAAAAAGCCCATAGTTGACTTCAGGTTCTTTCTCCATTAGGTCATTTTCACGCAGCCTTCATGTCTACAACAGAATACTGCCCGCGGTGGCTTGCCGGCCGGCTCCAGAGTCCACAAAAGTTTAGTTGAAAAAGACCCATTTCCTGTGACTGTAGTTAAATGGATGTTGAGCATCAGATCCCGTTACAGGGTCGTGGGAATCTTGTAGCCTTCAACATTCGGTCGAAGGGTCGGTTGTCCGTGGAGCATTACATCTCACCTACTCTTCGTTCACCCCACCGTGCAAGGGGTGCCTGGTTTCCAAGGTTGTACGTTCTACAGCTGTGACCATGCCGGCCTCTATGATGTCACCTATTGTGCCTCTACGCGTAACGATTTGCGGCAGCTGATATGCACCGCTTAACCCATTCTGCTCCCCAGCTAAAGGGACCAAGTACCGAAGGTCCAAGAGCTACTTCCACGTCGAGGCACCGTTTCAAGCCAGTTCCTCAGTTGACATCCTCCTTGATACCTACCAGTGGGTAAGGGCACCGGATCAAGAGTTGTATAGGAAAGCTCGTTAGGCGGATGACAGCTAATGTGCTCAAACCATATCAGTCATATTTCTTGGATGTAAGAGATATCCTCACGATACTGTCGCAGCAAGTGCGGATTGCCTCGTTTGGGACGAAGGCAGCGTACTTAGTTTGAAGGATGGCCCTCTGGTAGCGGTTGTCAAATGTCTCTGGTATTCGCTCGTCTTCTACGCTCAACTCCTATCATTCACAATCGTAGAGGACTGAACGCAGAAATCCACGGATCTCCATGGCCATGGAGATGTCGTTTCGAATCCATAGCCACTTTCGAGGACTGAGAAAACTGGACAAGCAGTATCGATTTTGCCCTTTCTCTTTCCATTGAGCAGCTGCCCCGTTCCAAGTTATTTAAAACTATCTACTTCGAGTTGACAGTCACCAGCCCACTGGGGTACCT